CCGCCGCGAACAGAGGTTCCAGATGGAGCGTTCTACTGTTATGAGTGCAACACGAAGTTCGCTGCATCCGACGATGCCGCAGAGTCGTATCCTAGCCTGGGTCCCCTCTTCAGCAAGCTTGAGCGCACAAATCCCCGCGCGTTTGCTCTACCTTCTGATATTCAAAATAACTTCGAGGGCGTTTCTGCACGTCCCGACGGCTCGTATTTTGAGGAGGTCAAGAAGTTTCCACTGTAAGTGTGACGCGTTCTGTCGCGTGATTTGGCACTAACATCACAACAGAGCGAAGAACAGTGGCTATGGCTACCAGAAGCCCGAATACACCAGACTTATTGATGTTGATCACAAAGTCATTTTATGTACGCAGTGCGGAGTGTCGAGCGGCCACAAGCGTCAAATGCTGAAGTGTGACTTTTGTCACGCGTACTGGCACTTGGACTGCGTCGACCCGCCTCTCGCTAACCCACCACACATCAGCCTTGAGGCATCGCAGCGGGATGCCTGGAGGTGTCCCCGACATATCGAGCATGACCTTCGCAGCGGTTTATTGCTGCAGAACGACCTGAGTTCGAAAGATGGGGATTCTGAAATGGCCGATGCCGCGCCGGTAACTCGGGTGCCACGCAGAGTGCGAGTACGCAAGCAACCCGAATATGTCGAGCCCACCTTTTCACGTGGCATGCGCAACAATGGCTTGATCGATATCACTAACGATCCTGACGACGATACTGATGGCGAAGGCAATTATGTGTTTGGTGACAACGATCCCAAGGATGTCAACTCCAAGGTCTTCCGTGTTCCGGAGAAGGGAGTCATCCTTGACTTCGTCAGCAAGGTTAAGAGGTATACAAAGCCACATCAGCAGCTCATTAAACTAGTCACTAACACATCGCAGTGGCCGTGTAGTCAAGAAGGCCGAAGCCCGCAAGTCCGCAGAAGCTGCGTCACAGCGCAGAGCGTCCATGCAAAATTTCCTTGCGCACAACTTCCAGCAGCAGCAAGCAGCACTATCTCTGGCACAGCTGGCAAACAAGACGCCAGAGATGAATCTGGGTGAGGGCACAGTTCAAGCGCTCATCCTCGGTCTCACTGTAAGACAACCTGTGGCCCACCGGCCTTGTTTTGATCCTCGGCGCTAATCCACGTGAAACAGTCCGAAGCTCCCCCGGCCGTCATCACCGCCATGTCCAACGCAGACCCACCACCGCCCACTGATGACGAGCGCGCGCAGTTGAAGATGCTGCAGCAGCTCATTCAGCGTCGACTTGGAGCTTGATTCCTGCTCAAGCACACCGGATCTGAACCTAAACATTTAGCCTGGTTGTCGTGACGCCACCGCGCAACCTGGACCCATCTGGGCCCCCCACAACACTCCTCATGCACTCAACACCAAAGATTCCAACTCCGCCATACTATTCCAAGACATTGTCGTCAAGATAGTGCATAGTTCCTAGGCTGTCCGTGGCGAAATCGTTGGGAATGCTCAGCCGTCAGCTCAGCCAACCCGCTCAACTTCCGTACTCGAACATGACACTTGTTCGCTAATGGACGCGCGGCACGGTCCTTGCCCGACACGTCAACGATTTTTGCTCTCTTTTTTGAAAAAAAGCTCCCTCTACCCCATTCCCCGTACCTTGTTTCCGGCGGATCACCTGTTTTGCACACGATGCGCGAATTCAGCGCTCGCTCGTTCCCCCACCCATACGTCTTTGTTTGCCGGTACGGACAGCTATTTACTGCCAAGTCCCTGCGCGCTTTTGCCAGGGACGCTTTTCTTTCGCTGTACCACACAACTGCATAGCGAGGAGTTTCACACGGGGTACTACTTTGTACATTTTGAGCTCTTGGTGAGGAGCTTTTTTCGTTTTATCGTCCTTGTCTTCGGCGTTCTTCTGGGGGAGGGAAGCTGAACGCGTGGGCCAAAGTGTTAAACTTTCTTTCTCCCCCCTCCCGATGTTTGCGGGTTTGACCGGTTCCATGTTAGCTAGTATACTTGCGAAGCTTGTATACTGGTTTCAAACGGGAAGGGAGGGAGGGTATCTGGATGCGGTATCTTAGGAAGACATGTAGTATTAGTCGGTCTATGAACTGGGTGGATGCTGTGTCTATGATCTTTCTTGTGCCTCCGCACAAATGAAATTGACGTGAATGTGAACATGCGGCTCACTTACGTGAGAATCAATGAAGAAGAGTAGGAGACTTTGCGGACCAACTGGGGGATTTACCGGGTTCACCATGTCAGACACGTCGCACACAGTTGCACGATAAGCAGCGAACTAAGACTCAGGGCAACTGCTGATGGCCTATCGACCCCACTTCGTGTGTATACATCAATGAGGCTGCAACGCAGAGTCTTTGACCGGAGAAAAACAAAACACAAACAAGGCGGGGGCGCATGGGAACATGTTGATTGGATATGATTTCATCTAACGATTCGGTCCCATTCGTCTCAGCCTAATGCGACAAGACAAGACAATAGAGGCCATGTGTGCTGGCACAAGCGGGAGCCTGGCTCTCGTGAAACCACGTTGCACGAATCATTTCAACTCATACTTCAACTCGTTTCCGTAAGACGAGAGCTTCGGGGCAAAGATACGTGGGAGGGGGACGTCGGGTTATTTGCTCAAGGCTTGCAGCGGCCGAAGTAGCGGGGGTACAGGCAGCAGTCTCGGACGGTGTGCTGCTTGCAGAGCCAGGCGAGGAAGCGCTCGAGACCGAGTCCGTAGCCGCCGTGGGGAGAAGAACCGTACCTAGAGAGTTGTGTTAGCGGATTTTGAACTCACGGATGGGTGTGTTGGTGGGTGGGTGGATGACTTACTTCCTCTGGTCGGTGTACCAGTAGTACGCCGCTGGATCGATACCTTCGCGTGCAAACGCACCCATCAACTCATCGTAGTTGTCCATCCTCATACTACCTCCGACAATCTCTCCAACACCCGGCATCAAGCAGTCGACGCTCTCGGTGACCCGCGCATCGTCCTTGTCCTTGAGCATGTAGAAAGCCTTGATCTCTGTGGGGAAGTGGGTCAAGAAGATGGGCCTGTTGATGATATCCGTCATGCGACGCTCAGCAGCCTCAGCAATATCATCACCAAACTTGTGCGGCTCGCCGTCTTCATTAGGGATCTCGTGTTCGACAAGCCAGTCAATGGCGTCTTGGTACTTCATGCGCTTGAATGGTCGCTCGGGGAGTTGGAACTCTGGGTTGAGGTCCATGATGTATTGCTTCACAACGGGGTCTGCCATTGTGACTTCAAGGACGCGGCACATGACTTCTTCCAGGTGGTTGAGTAGGTCGTCGAAGTTAATGTAGTCGAGTTCGGCTTCGACGTGCGTGTACTCTGCTAGATGGCGGCGGGTGAGCGACTTCTCCGCGCGGAAAGACTTCTCGATACAGTAGACGTCTCCCATGGATGGAAGGCAGGTCTCGAGGTAGAGCTGGGAGGACTGTGTGAGGTAGGCTTCTTCGTTGTAGTAGCCGAATTTGAAGAGCGTAGCGCCGCCTTCGACCTGCGTCTGGACGAGCGCTGGCGGGCTGACTTTGCGTAATCGCATCTCCTTGTAGACTTGGTTGAAGGCAAACTCGACAGCATCACGGACAATCATGACCTTGGAGGCTGTCTCTCCGCGAAGAGTGAGATGTCGCAGGTCGAGTAGTGTCGCGTGCTCAGTGTCTTTTGATACTCTGTTGGTGATGGCATCGTCACCACCGGCCGCCTTCCATCCATCGTGGATCTTGTAGTAGTCGACGTGCAGTTCGCGATTGTTAGGTGCGTGTGCGCCCTCTGGGATCTTCCTCAGCTCTCCGAAAATCTCCATGCTGGTCTCGCGGGTCAAGGTGAGGGCGTCGTAGGTCTTTGCGAGGTTGCCGGTGAAGATGACTTGCATCTGACCGTAGCCATCTCTTAAGGTAACGAACATGACATCCTTTTGTCTCCGCTCACGATGTACACGACCAAAGACGCGTACACGTGTGCCCTTTGTGTCCTTGCCATCTCCCAGTGTAATCTTCTTCGAGTCGGTATCGTCGAGCTTGATCTTGATGGGGGCTGGCAGGCTCTTGTTCTCTTCTATAACAATCTTCTTAGCCTCGTCTAGCACCTTGTTGCGGTCGTGCTCTTCCTTCATGCGCTGCGCAAGCAATTGCTGGTCCTTCTCCTGCTTCTTCTTCTGTGTCTTGGCGTAGTTGACGGCCTTCTTCATGGCCGACTTGGCGGCATCCTTCCATTCTAACCTCGATGTCGCGTCGGCGCCCTCTGCAATCTCGCCAGTGACACTCTTGCGGGTGAGGAACTTGGCTGTCTCGCCGCGGGTGAGGACAGCGTATCCGAGTGATTTGTAGGGCAGCGATTCGTCGCCAGTCTGCTCTGGGGTGTCGTGACCGACGTCTTCGTCGATGTAGTAGGTGGCTTCGGCCATGGTTGCGGGATTGGGGTATCGTGGAGTGTTCAATGGGTTGTTGTTGCGCTCGGAAATATATTGGGTGGCCGCGGGGTGCTTGACTCACCCCTCCAAGGCTCCGTGCACGCCTATGTGAAGCGCGACATGTATCGATAAGGACCTATAGTTCCTGCGCCGCCTCCTTATCTGTCGGTGAAGAGTCATATCAATGCGTTTCGTATTGATAGACAGCTATATACTAGACTCGTTTTCCCCGTCGGCTTACCAAGGGTTTCCAATGATCGCTTGTTGCTCAGATTGAACGTAATGCTTTGGTGCGACTTGACGGCTCACTCGTCTTACATCACAATCTGGACTTAACGCGCATACTCACATAATAGAACGTTGACATAATGCATGCCATATGTATAAGTGCATCTGTAACTTGGTACATGGGCTGATTGACTGCATTGGGATATTGCAAACCAAGGCCGCTGTAATTCCGCGCTGACAAACGGAAGACCTCCGCTGCGTATTGTTGATTGTTTTGTCAAGTATAAAAGTTACGCGATACAACAAGAGAAGTGACCTTGAACATCAACGTAGCGTTCAGATTGAAGATGGCCGATCCAAATCTCTACACGTATGCGTCTCCTCTGAAAGGCTACGAAGGCCTCGAGCCACTATCAAAGTACGTTGCTCTTGAAATCTGTCGTCACACAGCTTGGTTGCTATCATGTATCTAAATGAGACTGTGCTAACATCGTACAGTGAAAGGGCTGAGGACGGGAAATCCTACGTAAACCCACCAATCGAGAAGAAGAGCGAAGCATACAAGTCCTTTGTAGCTCCTATAACGAACGGCATTCGAGGAGGCTTCGAGTCAGTGCTAAAGTTGAAATGCGGTTGTATATATATCTGACAGCAACTAGCGTTCACATTTATTTCCTCCAGTCTGATAAAGAGGAAGTGAAGTTCGCCAACGAGCTGTGGGAACGGATACGCCGCGAATGTGAGGACATATCCATAAGCTTAATATGCTAGGATGCTAATCCGACACGAAGTCCCCGAATTGCGCATTTACCGAGTATGGGACCGGCCTATTGGACCCCATCCTCTCGCCATGTTTGAAGTCAACATCTTCACGCCCGGTATGTTTGGAGAGAATACACCTCTATGCCTATGCTAACGAATAGCAGAGCAATTCGGTGCTTTCATTCCGTGGCTCGTGATCAACAGGGGGCCATTGTCTGCACTAATTCACCCAAACACCGACGATGAGTTGAGAGACCACACGCAAAGAGCGACCTGGATGGGGCAACCACTGCCTGTGAGCACAAAGATGTTCAAGAAGACGGCCGAGACATTGTGAGGACAAATGTGGGGACTGCGATGTATAGATGTAATTCAGTGGTATCTTCTGGTGCACCACACTCCATCAGGATCTCCGCGCACTGGTGCTGCATTTTACAGGATTTCGTCGTCCAAGTCATTGTTGTGCCTTCTTCCAGTAGCACTTCTCCCCCAGCGACATACTCTCGATGCTACCCGCGTGACCTCGCAAGATCAATTAATCGGTGCTCTATGACAACGACGTGTTTCTTGTGCGTCTCATGCTTTCGCAGAGTCCGATGTTTCTCATACTTTGGTCTCGCCCTTCTTCTTTTTCTTGGTCTTCTTCGCCTTCTTCTTGTCTCGCTTCTTCAGTCCACTCATGCCTGTCTTACACGCCTCGGCATACCGTGCGTAGAATGCGTCCAAGTCGTCTGGCTTCACCACCGTGCTCAATATTATCTTGGGGATGTCCTCTCTGTCGGTGCCTGCCTTCTTGTCGCTCCCGTTGTTGTGTGCGCGAATTAGAACAGGTAATGGCTCGTCAGGATGTGTGTCCCATAATGGATCGTCGGCGATCTTGCTGGCTGGAGGAGGTGTAGCAGAGGTACCGAATGTCATGCGCTTCTGGACTAGGTAGACGCTGCCGTGGCCTTTGGTGCGCGTGTACTCGAAAAGATTGGCGAGCCGTGTGAAGAACTGCAAGAGTCAGCCCTGAACAGGCGCTTCATTAATTGGCGTTTCGTACCTCATCGTTGGTTAGGTGGTCTCGCGCCATGGTGAAAGTCGAGTGCTATCGTGCGCGCGCCATGTAGTAGTTGGTTGCATGGATGGTGGGATGCCCGCGGCCGTCCGTGTGGAGCGGAGACGCGGGGATTCTCTCACCCAAACTCCGACTTCTCGAACTTTTTTGCGACTCTACCGTCTCGACCATCTCAACATGCGCACAGCTTTCGGAGGGCCCAAATTGCCCGTGGAATTGAGAAATCAGTTTGGTAATATGTTCAACCGACTCTGGCAATATTTCAGTGCTAACATCAGCAGACCCAGCGAACAACAAGCGACGAAATGGAGCGCGCAACGGGCCACCGAATCGCAAAGACAAGCGCAAGGCCGATCGCGTAGAGAAGAAGCGCCAGAACAAGCAGGTCAGACGGCCAGCGCCTTCGCATCCTCACAATGGCCGCGGTCCACGTCGAGAAGCCGAGTCGGACGACGACGACGAGGAAGAGGAGATAGACTGGGACAACATCGAATCCGACGCCACACCACCCCCGATAGCTGCGAAGGAGTCGCCTCAACCGTTGAAGGGCATCCTCAAAGCGAAGACCTCACGACCCAAGGAAGCGTCACCACCGCCTCCTAAATTATCGCGCGCCGCCCAGGAAAAGTTGGCGCAAGATGATGCTGAGATTGCCAAGTTGGAGAAGAGGCTAGGCGTGAAGAGCAAAAAGAGGTCCAAGGGAGCAGATGATGGTCTGGACGACATATTCGGCGATCTTGGAGACTTCAGCGACGAAGAGGATGCCCAACCTACAAAGAGGAAGAGGAAAGAGGACGACGATTGGCTCGCAAGCAAGAGGCGGAAAGCCTTGGGTCAGGAGTCGAGTGAGGAAGAGGACAGCGAGTCGGAGGGTTCCGCATTTGACGAGGACGACATGGACATGGAAGAGACAGCCTCCGACGAAGACGACGAGACTGAGGATGGTTCTGAAGACGACCTGGGCTCAGATGAGGACGACGACATGGAGGATGCGGAACCGGAAAAACCACGTATACGAGAGAACCCATACATCGCTCCCGTAGCCGCGAACGCCCAACCGACCAAGTACATACCACCTGCGCTGAGAGCAGCTCCTGCTTCAGATACGGAGGCTTTACTGCGTCTCAAAAGGCAAATTCAGGGTCTCTTCAACAGGCTCTCGGAAGCCAACATTTTGTCTATTCTGAAAGAGATTGAGAACATCTACCAAAACAACCCCCGAGGCTACGTCAATAACACACTCGTCGACCTGCTCGTCGGCATGTTGTCGGATCCGACAGCTCTCCTCGATACGTTTCTGAACCTGCACGCTGGTTTTATCGCTGCGGTGTACAAAGTTATTGGACCCGATTTTGGCGCGCAAATAGTGGAACGCATTGTCGCAGAATTCGATCAACACTACCAACCGAACAAAGACGGCAATGGAAAGCAGACGGCAAACCTGATATCTGTAGTAGCGGAACTGTACACGTACCAGGTCATTGGCAGCAACATCGTCTTTGACTACATCCGATTCTTCCTCGACGAACTTACGGAGATCAATACCGAGCTCCTACTGAGAGTAGTCAGGGCATCGGGCCCGCAACTGCGACAAGATGATCCAACTTCGCTCAAAGACATTGTCGTTTTGCTGCAAAAGTCTGTGGCTAAAGTTGGGCAGAACAACCTACCCGTCCGAACAAAGTTCATGATCGAGACGATCAATGACCTCAAGAACAATAAGATGAAGACAGGCATAGCTAATTCCGCACTTTCAAGAGAGCATACGATACGGATGAAGAAGCAGTTGGGTACTCTAAATTCAAGAAACCTCCGAGCAACCGAGCCGCTACGCGTTGGTCTTAAGGACATCAAAGACACGGACAAAAGAGGCAAGTGGTGGCTAGTGGGAGCGAGCTGGCGTAATGAACCTGGAAACGAGGAGAAGCCCGAGGAGTCAAAGCAATCTGGCAAGACTTCAAAAACCATCGACCTTGAGGACGACGACAGCGAAGTCGATCTCGTGCAACTTGCCCGCGAACACCGCATGAACACTGATATTAGACGCGCCATCTTCGTCTCTATCATGTCTGCCAGCGACTTCAAAGACGCTCAAATACGACTGAACAAGCTCAACCTCAAGAGATCGCAGGAGGCGGAAATTCCACGGGTCATTGTGCATTGCGCAGGCGCCGAGAAGACCTATAACCCATACTACACAGTCCTCGCCCGAAAGGTCTGTTCAGATCACAAGACACGAAAGAGTTTCCAATTTGCACTATGGGATATCTTCAAGAGTCTAGGAGAGAAGCAAGATGGCGCAGATGACTCGGATGGTGACGATGACGATGCAGGTGGTGACACATCTCTTCGCAAACTTGTCAACCAAGGCAAACTGTACGGAACACTGATCGGCCGGAAAGCTCTACCCATCACTAGCCTGAAGAACCTCAACTTCCCTTACTTGCAGCCAAAGACCAAGATGTTCATCGAAGTCTTGCTAGTCACGACGATTCTGGAGTCGTTCAAGGCATCCAAATCGAAGGACAAGCGAGACGAGCGGGCAGTACGCGAAGTATTCGTAGAGGTGGATCAGGCTCCTGAGATGATTGCTGGGCTGCAGTTCTTCCTCAAGAAGACTGTTAGCAAGACCGAGATCGTCGAGAAGCATGAGAGAGAGACTGTCCGATGGGCTTGCAAGTCAATAATAGACATGTTGACGAGAGTACTGGCCACCACGACGTTGACGGAGGACTGAGAATAGGAAGGGATGAGTCATTGCCGTTAGATATAGCCAAAATACCCTTTATTTGCCATATAGAGTAATGCGATACCGGTTACCGGGACACTGAGACGAAGATGTTACGGAGTAGATGTGAGGCACTTTGTCAGCTTGGCGCCACCCTTGACCCTACGGAAGCCGCATAGACCTTCCCGGCCGAGCTCCGCAAAAAGCTCAACCACATCTCCCATCCCACGCCCCATCCATTGACGCCTGTCATCCCCGCCGTACACTTCACGGCTTCTCTTGGTAGCGATTCTTCGGTAGTCTCCACCATGTTCCGCTCACTGGCACCCCGCGCCATGCAGAGGGCGACGCGGCCCGTCTCCCAAAAGACATTTTGCGCATCCAACATCTACTTCCAGAACCGGTTACGACGAGGCTATGCGTCGGAGGCTGGTAAGTCGCATTACTACGAGGTCTAGAGGGGAGTATGTGCTGATTGCTGGATAGAGGACAAGGACCTAGTCATCATCGGTGGCGGTGTCGCAGGCTATGTCGCAGCCATCAAGGCAGGACAGGCGGGCATGAAGGTTAGCGACGACAGACGTGGCGATTGCGCAGCTCAAAGGCTTACACGGCGATAGGTCACCTGTATCGAGAAGCGTGGCTCCCTCGGTGGAACCTGCTTGAACGTCGGCTGCATTCCCTCAAAATCGCTCCTGAACAACTCGCATCTCTACCACCAGATTCTCCACGACACAAAGGGTCGCGGTATCGAAGTCGGCGATGTCAAGCTCAACCTCCCCGCCATGATGAAGGCGAAGGACACCTCCGTCTCCGGTCTCACCAAGGGAATCGAGTTCCTTTTCAAGAAGAACAACGTTGAATACATCAAGGGCACTGGCGCATTCCAGGACGAGCACACCGTCGCTGTCAACCTGACCGAGGGTGGCGAGACCACCGTCCGCGGCAAGAACATCCTCATCGCCACTGGTTCCGAGGCTACACCCTTCCCTGGCTTGACCATCGACGAGCAGAAGGTCATTACAAGCACTGGCGCTATTGCGCTCCAGGAAGTGCCAAAGAAGATGACCGTCATTGGCGGTGGTATCATCGGACTTGAGATGGTAGGGACTCTCTTTTGAACCATATGGCATTTCTAACGATTCGTAGGCTTCCGTATGGTCGCGTCTCGGCTCTGAGGTTACCGTTGTCGAGTTCTTGGGTCAAATTGGTGGCCCTGGTATGGACAACGAGATCGCCAAGCAGACACAGAAGATCCTCACAAAGCAGGGTCTGAAGTTCAAGCTCAACACCAAGGTTACCGCCGGTGAGGTTCACGACGCTGGCGTCAACGTCAGCGTTGAAGCCGCCAAGGGTGGAAAGGAGGAGACCGTACGTCCAGCGCATGCATTTGTGTTTAGAGAGAATGCTAACCAGTACAGATCGACTGCGACGTCGTCCTCGTTGCCATCGGTCGCCGCCCATACACCTCCGGTCTTGGTCTGGACAACATCAACCTCGAGACCGACGACAGGGGCCGCTTGATCATCGACCAGGAGTACCGCACCAA